GTTGTTTTCTGGTATCATCTTACTAACCTAGCAATTCCGGTACTGTGACGTGACTTTTCTGGTATCAGCTAGCAGTGGCCTAGGCACACCATTTAAAGTGCTACTAAAACTACAGAGTCTGCCCTTTAATTTCATGTATAGATATCACCTTAATTAGCAGATCTTCATGTCAAAGAAGGGGCTTTACTTTTGGTGACGCGTCGTGCGGTTCCGGATGTGCGCTTTATGGCCTCGGGGGGCTTCGGGGGGGCCTACGACAGACCCGTACCACCTACAGGTCTGAAATTTGGCACACGTAAACTAGATACATTAACGAATAAGTGTGCCGTGTCTGATGACTGTGGCCCTTACCAAAGTCCCGCAGTGGCCCTTTGAATTTGCTACGGTAGGCAATGTTAAGTAAATGTAGTCTTTTGACAGGGCATAACTACAGGTAGCAGTGGCCTAGGGAGATGATCCAAAGTGTTCCTGATACTAGACAGTCTGCTCCTAAATGTAATCTATACATGTCCATTAAAATTATGCCTCCTTAATTTGAAACCAACGCATATTTTATCATTAGTGGCTGCACTTTTTCGACTAGGCCTCAAACTAACATGTGGGGGCGTCATGGCTGAGCCGTACGAGCTAGGGGTCTGAAATTCGGCCTGCACAAACTAGTTATACATATGAATAAGTGTGCCTAGCCTCATGAACGCAGCACTTACCAAAGAGCTATAGTGGGCCGTAGAATTTGCTAAGTTGGGCAATGCAAGTCAATGGGGACATATGAGAGAGTAGGCCGCAAACGAACATGAGGGGCCGTAACGGCCCAGCCGTACGAGCTGCAGGTCTGAAACTCGGTGGAGACATACTAGACGGATGCCTGATGAAGCACGTGCAGCATCATCAGTGCAGACCTGACCAAAAAATTTCTACAATGTTTTTAATATTACAAAACCAACTTTGTTAGTGATATTTCCGGAAACGTGCGTTTTCCGGTTTGACTAACTTAGCAACGTCGGAATTGTGATGTGTGTTTTCTGGTATCGTCATGTGACTTTTCTGGTATCATCTTACTAACTTAGCGATCCCGGAACTGCGACGTGACATTTCTGGTATTATCTTACTAATCTAGCAATTCCGGTACTGTGACGTGACTTTTCTGGTATCATCTTACTAACTTAGCACTTTAGGAATTGCGATGTGACTTTTCTGGTATCATATTACTAACTTAGCAATTACGGCATTGTGATGTGTGTTTTCTGGTATCATCTTACTAACTTAGCAGTTCAGGTATTGTTATGTGACATTTCTGGTATCATCTTACTAACTTAGCGATTCCGGAATCATGATGTGTGGTTTTTGGTATCATCTTACTAACTTAGCACTTTAGTGATTGTTATGTGACTTTCCTGGTATCATCTCACTAACTTAGCAATGTCGGAAGTACTAAGTGTTTTCCCGTCTTACTAGGCCTCAAACTAACATTAGGGGGCGTCACGGCCGAACCATATGACCTACACATCTGACCTTTGGCATGCATAAAGTAGATCAGCTTTGGATCAAGTCTGCCAAGTTTTATGAATGTGACCCTTACGAAAGGCCTACAGTGACCTCTTGAATTTGCTATTATCGGCAATGTTAAGTGAATGGAGACACCACACCTCTCATTAGACAGGCCATAAGTTCAGGTAGCAGTGACTTAGGAAAATGATTAAAAGTGTTCCTGATACTAGATAGTCTGCTCCTAAATGTAATCTATACATGTCCATTAAAATTATGCCTCCTTAATTTGAAACCAACGCATATTTTATCATTAGTGGCTGCACTTTTTTCACTAGGCCTCAAACTAACATGTGGGGGCGTCACGGCTGAGCCGTCCGAGCTAGAGGTCTGAAATTCGGCCTGCACAAACTAGGTATACGTATGAATAAGTGTGCCAAGCCTCATGAACACAGCACTTACCAAAGAGCTATA